CTCTACTTACCTCCTCCTGTCCTCAACCTACATCAGCAACAGTGACGTAAACCATTGGAAACTACATTGAATCATATATTTTAAACCCAGCTGCATTCACTGCCTATAGGAGGACACAATGAGTCTTTGCATGTGGTGAGAGAGACATATCATATGGAAATCTCAGCTCCATGAGGAGATTCATGTACCTGACGGGCCTAGTCAGCACATGCTTTGTGTTCTGCCTCACACATGCACACTGATACTGCTGCTTCCGCCTTCTCTAATGTCTCTCATTACAGATCTCTCTACTTGTGTTATTCTCTGGTCCTTTCTGAGATCCCAGCTCTTCCATCCTTGAAATTGAAGGCTGGAGTGAATCTTATCTCCTCTCATTAGCTTCATTCCCATTCTCTCTGGCTCTCTTTATTGCTCAGTGTTAACCTTCTCACTTGGTAGCATTCATGGAGAAGTGGTGTCCTTCTGTCAGAAGAATTATGAGTTGCAATATTTCAGCAGACTGATCCCTGACATTTGATCCCCAACAGAAGGAGGTTGTCTCTATTGTGCGTAGATTATACTGCTAAATTTAATTTCTTTTAATTAGCATACATTTCCATTTTGTGTTACTAAAACCTATTACAATAGGGTTGTATGAGCAGCTTCTGCCTCCATTTTAGAGGGAATTGCTGCCAAAGAAAATGCATTGTGAAGTCAATATTTTTATTTTTAGGTGTTTGTGGACTGTAAACCACAAAACTGTCTGAACTTAATTGTCTGATGAGGAATTATAGGTAATATTCAGTTCCACAGACTCTGAAATCAGCAGCAATTTGAGACACAGAAAATGTATACTAATTATGTAGTTGGATGAATGCAGTTCCAAAACCACTGCCTTTTGCTTTTGTCTAGGTTGATTGATGTATTTTGCAATGATGTAAATAAATTGTCCTTTTTTACCAATTCACAAACAGAAGAGCTGACTCTGACAGCTGGAGTTGGGAGATGTCTGTTGTTTTGAAAACCTGCTCCTCTGAAAATATCTTTCCTCCATAGACTGCTGTGACGCATAAAAAACGGTTGTTGCCAAACCAACAATACATCATCTTAATCTTAATCAAGTACTGCACACACAGAATCAGAGTTGCAATCCTAAGAGACTGTGCCTGTGACAGGGAATCAAATTGCCTGCACATATGGATTAAAATTAGAGACTGGGGTCTTCGCTATTCATCTACTTTGACATTGAATTGATCTGTCCTCTTTGCCTTGCCATTTGGCCATGGTATTTAGCATTTAGTTTCCACATCAAACTGTCTAATTGGTGAAAGATATTTTGAAAAGCGGGCTTACTTTACTTATATCTAAGTAATATATCTTGATGACTTTTTTAAACTGAAAAAATATGGAACAAAGGGTTACAGCAACATTTTCATGCCACAAGTTCAACCTTTTCTCAAACCATCTCAGAAATGTGTTAAATTGTGTTATACTTTCTATATAGCATACTCATTATCTAGTCTTTTTCTTAAGCTTTATATTTACCCAGGATTCCTGTGCAGTAAAGATGCTTGTATTCAACTTCACCCTCTTCATATGTTGGAGCCACCAATTATCAGGACAAAGTAATCTAACTCAACTTCATCTACAACACATTTTTTCCACAGTTTTTAATTGTTTAATACATGACTGCAGCCTACTCTGTCCCTGTCTTTTCATATGACAGTATTGTTTCTCATAAAACATTTAGACTTACAGTTTTAGTATTCACTGACTTCCCTGCCACATCTTCCAGCTTGCAGCAGCTATAATCTTTTGCCTTAAAGGTGTCTTATGGAGGTTGAACACTCAGGGAAGTAATTGTCTCAGCTTGGATGCATTATAATGCTGTAATGAATAATTACAGGTATTGTAGGACTAATTGTATTTTTTTTCATTACACATGATATCAGTGTACCATGCTTGTATACTCACATCAATTTAGTTGAATGAGAAGCTTCTTTGTGTTGGTTTCTATTATATAAGTCACGCTGGCAATCGGAACTTTGCATTTATCAGTCCTTCTAACTAAAATAGGATTCTGCAGCGGGACATACAGTTCAGTACCACAGGGAGGGAATGCTCAAAACTCCATCATCAACATCATCTGATTTCTTCTGAATGAATAAATTAAAGCCACCCAGGGTTGTAACCATGGTGTCTTGGGGAAGAAGAACAAGATTGTGTTGGGGTGAAATTCAGGTGAATGGAGGAATTGTTTGCTCAGAAATCTGTAATGCTATCACAGGTTGTACTTTTTTTAAAATTTGCATAATGTTTTCATGAAAAAAGTCTAAATCTGCCATTTTCTGTTTTATTCTTTCAATATCAAAGGTACATAGAGGAGTTACACAAAAGTCAAGCAGACACACAGCAACACCACTGCAAATTCTAATACAAGTGGGCTTATATTAGGCCACATGCCAAGTAGCATTATTCTTCAACTCCTAATGTTATATGGTCTCTTATATTCCTGTTGAAAATCACATAAAGATCAGATTGCCTGGCCTCTTTTATAGCTGACGAAGGTTGCATTCAACCTCATATAACCCACCTTTGTAGCATTGTTTGTAATGGAAAGATGAGTGTAGGTTACTTTACTTAAGATGCTACCAGCCTATAGTTGATTAGAGTGCAGGCACTTAGTGTATAGGGATATGTATCACCAGTGAAGTGTTATTCAGCCCTATATTGACTTTGTGCATCAAAATCAATTTTTATAAAATGAGAAGTCAAATTGTGGTGTGGGGTTTACCTGCTTTTTCCTGGAGTTTTGGTGTTGGAATATTTTAGGCCAGAGTCTCTTCAGAGTGATCTTAACTTTTAGGGACAGATTGATAATCTACTAAACTGGTGACTTATGTCTGCTGCTGCGATCAAAGACAGGCTGCTAGAAATAACGGTTCTGTCTGTGACCTCTGGTGGGAAAACAAATATATCTTTTTCTATTGCGATTTTACACGTAAAACATCTCTATGTCATCCATTACAGCAGAGAAAATGGTTTAACTGAATCAAAACAGATCGCCTAAGTAATATAAATTGTAGTAACAAACTGCTCGTTTTGCCATGTTGCTTACAGATAAAATCAATCAACTACTTACTTCCGCTCATCACGTTAACATCCTTCAGATAAAATCAAATATTTTTGTCTGTTTTTGTCATTGGGTACTGTTTCTTCCACATACCCGTAAATATTTGTTATTTAGCTGTGAATCACAGAGACAACATTTATTGGCATAACCTTCTGGGATGGACAGTTACACACTTGTTTCATCTATTACCAACAGATGGCTCTTTAGAATGACACTCCCCTGGTGACCTTTAGCTGGGACAGTTTTATTTTGTGACAAGGACAACACTTCCAACAGCCGCACTATTTCTTCAGTCAGCATGCATATTTATCAGCCTTTTCCGAGAGGGATTTAATCTAAATTATAGCAAGGTTATCCTTCTCAAGTCCATTAAGTTAGTTCTTCCACTTCTGTTAAGTAATTTATGGTAAAACTCACTGAGGCCACGAAGAGCAAGATCAAAACAGTGTGAGCTCAGAATTTTTCCGAAAGACTTGCAGATTAAAAGAAAAGGAGGAGGAACAGGTGAAGTGGATGGATACAGACAATCCCCCTCACATGCTATTACTACTACCCCACACACACACACACTGCTGCTGTTGTGTTTTTTCAATGCTAGAAGCAGCTTCATCCAGTTGTGTGATAGCAGGCCTTGACACTAAATAAACTTTGTCCAAATTAAACTTTGTCCAAATCAATATTGCTTCATGAAGTCTGTGCCTGTTCATATAATGTACCAAAGAGCATTTTACTGAATAATAAGCCGCTTAAATCAATGAAGTTTGTTCTGATTAAGTTTCAGTTTCACCATTGCACTTACAAGAAATGTTTGCAAACAGCATATGCATTAATTTATGTTTAAGTATCCTTTTTTTTGTCATTTTACTCTAAGGGTAGTTTTGAACATGAACATGTTTAATTTCCATCTGACATTGGATAAAATGTCACTGATAAATGACTTTCACAAAAATAATGACATCAGCTGATTGTATAATAGCAACAAACAGAGGATGTTTTAATTTTTAGAGCCTTACCAGTAGATGGGCTTAAAATGTCCTGAGGGAAGCACACGGTGAACAGCCAAGGGGTCATTTGAGTCAAAAGGTTTCATCCCCTCAGGAGTGTGATATTGTAATGTGCAGTGGATTGTGTGTGTGGAGTATTGTGTGTGAAGTTGAAGAAAATGAATGTGGTCAGCCAGTTTCCCAAAAACAAATCATATAGTTTTTTTAATGGAAATTGTAACCTTACATTTATCGTATAGGAACAGTGGATATGAATACCAAATTTCACAGAATTTTTGGCAATAATTCAAGATAGTGTGTCATGGATCCAGGCCAATTTTGATCTGACACTGCACCTGCTTCCAGTCAAGAGCCAACATCCTTAGAAATAATATATTATGACAATGAATATTCAGAAAAAGTGCCATGGTAATATCAGTCAGTATTTGTCAATGTTAGTCACAAACACTTTAAACTGATTTCAGATCAAGTTTTACACCTGGCCAGGGACTACAGATGGAAATTAACCTTTTGGCTAAACCTATTTCCTATTTACAGCAATGCACTGTCTCTGAGAAATACATAAATAAACTAAACACATAACATGTTCCTACGATTTTTTTAAGCAGGTGGAATTTAATTAGGGCCACAGAAGTCAGGCAGAACCACAGCATACAAAGCTGCACATCTGCATACAAATCCGAGTCATCTTCCTCTGACGCGCCTGATGCTTCCTCTTCTGTCATCTTAAAGTTACACTGTATCACAGCCCCGCACGGCTCGGCTGTCTCCTCTCTGGCTCGCTGGAAACACTGCCTGTTGTGATGGGACGGACTTGGCAGAAAGCCGCCTGACTCGCTGTTGTCTCCGGACATTAAAAGGTCGCACACACTGTCTGTCTGTCTGTCTGTCACGTTATTGCCAGCAGCAGTCGGTGCTCGATTGGTTTAGTCTGGAGAAACCATGGCAGACCTAGAGGATAGTGTTGCAATTCCTGAGTTCAGCTGCCTTCTCCAAATGGATCCCTATCTCAAAGCGTACGAGAAGGACTTCAAGAGGAGGTAAAACACGGCTTAAACTGCGGTTTTGTGCACAGCTCGTCGCCGAACCAGTCCCCGGCGAAGCGAGCAGAATCCGGCTTTACGCTGGCGTTTGTGTCTCGAAAATAACAGCACACAACTAACAGATATAAGGCGATGTTTGCAACATATCAGAGTCACCTTCTGTATTCAGCTTTGACATTTTGAATGAGAGGTCGCAGAGGTGCGCAGTAGATATAGTTTGCTACCCCCCTCCCCTCCCCAGCCTTATGGAATAATACGCGTTTAGAAGATGTTCAGCCTAATGCAAAATGAATGAATCGCTAGCAGGAAGTCTTTTAATGTTTATGTGATAAGTTGCCGAAGAAGGCAAGTCGCCTCTCAACTTCCTATGTTTGACAGTTACAGAGTGGGCATGTGTTTGTCAGTGACGTCCACGGTGCGTCGTGAGGTGCCGCTTTGGGCTGAGACGCTGTCGGGTTCTGGCCTGTTGTTCAGGCTGATGGAGCCGGTGCGTCACTGGTCCAGCAACACGACAGTTTTTCTTTTGTGCGGGTCTTGGTCTCTCAGTGTAATTCTTTTTTTTTTTTTGTAATGAGTTTTCCTTTTAATTGTGTCTGGTTGTTATCGAGGCATCAGTTGTCCTAAAATGTGCTTTAAAATTGGATTAAAGTCCAGATGGACGCTTCTGCACAGTAGCTGATTGGTTTGGGGTTTGCAGTGTAAAGGCTCTGCAATACAAATAACCTCTGAGACATTAATTGACTTCATGCTGTTTTCATGTGCTGCATGGTTTTCCCCTTCAGCCTCGATTTGGCCTCTTTACAAATTAATTATTGGGCTGGACGTACTAAGTAGCTGACTTTGTCTGCCTATGTGTGGTACAAGTGTGTGTAGGCTAGTGCATTTATTAATCTGGGATTATGGCCACCACAAATTCCAATCACATTTTTTTTCTGCAGTTGCCAAAGTGTGATGGTTGATTGTATCAAACTAAACATAGAAGAAGTGGATTTTATATCCAGGCTAGAAAATGTTTGCATGATGTATCTTTTTAACTCAGTCTTATATTTTCGCCAGCAATGCACAAGCCAAAGCAGAAAGTTCTTATAAATAATATAACAGTCTCGCTCACAAGAAGATGTCTTAACAGCTGTCCTTGGGATTTATATTATGAAGCCATTAATGGTCTAAATGAACCAGAATCCTGCTACAGACTATAACCTTGTGATCAGAATGTTTCTTGTAGTGCATATGTAGATTCATACACTATATACAGACCTTTACATTTTATGGCTGGTTGTCCTGGATCCATATCATGATTTTGAGAGTGTTAAAGACAGAGATGTTTTGCTCATTAGTCTGTTCAGCAACATGTCCAATGAATAAAGTGGATGTTTACAGGGAATTGTAGAGTGGGTATTTGCTTACTGTAAGCACTTAAACAAAGCTGTTTTTAAATACAAAATGTGCCTAAATGAGCGCAGGACCTTACAGACCTGAGATGAACCTGTAGCTTCAGTAGTAAATGCCTTGACCTTGTGTCTACACTTAAATCCAAAAGTAAATAAACAGTCTCTGTACGTCAATAGACTGTGCAGTCTCATGCTTTTTTTAAATTTACCTTCATTTTAAGTTTCATGTGGTGCACCTTAAAAAAAATGCATAATGACTGAGTAGCAACAAATTGTTCCTGTTAATAATAACACAATGCTGATTTGATAATCATCTTTCTAAAGGTTCCTGTAGACTCATTTCTGGATGGAAAGGCATCTGGCTCATAAAATGGCAGTGGAAATCTTTAGCTCAGTTCCCCACCTCCTGTCAAATTAGCCTTACCTGCTGGATTTCTTTTTAAAAGAAATGAGTGTAATGTTTTTTTTTACTTACAAGCAGACAGTGATAATGATCTGCAGCTCACATTGCTACGGTATCTGCTCACCGTTGGGTTGTCCCAGAAACTAGGCCTTATAACTCTGCTTAGGGGCCATATTTTTTAAACCATTTTCATTACCGTGTCAGATCTTGTCTCTAATGTGGCAGGTAAGGGACCACCTGCTTTGTATTTGAAGCATGTGAGCAGTGCTCTAGCCTTGCAGAGAGATGAGCGTGTCAGTTCCATCTCAGACACAGCTTGGGATTGTTAGGCTTCATCAGGCCCTCTCTCAGTCTCAAACACCTGTCTCACTGATGAAAGTTGCACATAAATTATTTTACATATAGGATCACTGCTGTGTGAAGGTTAATTCTTGATAAGCCCCTGGTGTTCTAAGGCCCAGGGTCCAAACACCACATCATGAATACAAGCATAGAAATCAAGAGCTTTCTCAGCTAGCGGTGTCGTGCTGAGTCCTCTCGCCGAGCTGCACAGTGCTAAGAATTCAGATGGCTTATCAAAAAGAGACCTATGACCACACTGAGTGATTCTTTAGATTTCACCACCATGTCATGGCTCAAGGCCGGCCACATCTCTTGTTTGTTGAACTTTGGTTCACACCAGATACAGCTATGCACAGACAGTTAAAATGATTCCATCAGATTTTGCAAAGCCTCCCATTCCAATTAGTTATTCCGTGGTTGCAGGCAGCTGTTATTTTATTTTATCAGGGTGATAGTTTCAGATTGATTGTGAAAACAACCGTTGATGCTGCACGCAGGTTACAGCCCAAGTGAGCAGTGCTCTGTTGACATGCTTCATTATTTACCCTTCCTGTTGCGCAAGTCTGCAGGAAGTGCTGCTAGGATTTCGCAGCTCGTGGCACCATGAATCTCCTAAATTGGACCAAATGAAAGTAGGGAGCATTGGGACTGCTGCTTATTACGGCAAAGAGTTTTTGCAAAGATTGGAGAATGTCATCACAACTAATTTAAAAGTGAAAATACAGCAATAAGTCAGAGTCTTAAGCTTGTGATGTGATGCAACATATTTAAACCAAAACCTATTATTGACTTTGAAGTGATAACTGCCAATGCATGTGCTCTGACTGAAAAGTAATGAGCTGAAACACAGGAATTAAAGGTCCAGTGTATAACATTAAGGAGGACCTGTTTTCTATTCATAGATAGGTTTTCATCAGTATATAATCACCTAAAGATAAGATAATTTTATATTTTTGTTTCCATAGCCTTTTATATCTACAGACGCAGCAGGTCGCCTACTGTTGAAGCCGCCATGATGAACTGCCATGTTTCCCCTTGGTTCGGGCAATATCTTAAAATTTTCCAACCAGACAACCGTGATTGCCAATATACTCGCACATGCATGTGCAACGCCACATTTTTCGGCACAGTGTGTGCGCTGCTGAGCTGATTCTTCAAGGGCAGACCATTAAATTAACAAAATAAAATGACAAAAATTGCCCCCAAAAAAACAAAAAGGAACCATGATGGACACAGCCAATCACCGATAGCCGATATATTAGTCCAGCTATCCAACCAGTTTCTATGGTAGCCGGGAGGTTACAAACTCAATAGTGGCTCTAGATGGTTTATGGTTTATTTGCCGCTTCCCGGTCACCGTAGTTTCTCCTTTGCGTTGGGAATGGGGAGGGTGAAGCGAGGGAGTTGCAGTCTACAACTAAACTGCTAGATGTCACTAAATCCTATACACTTGTCCTTTAAAGATAAATGGTAAATTACAACTAACATTTCCTTGGTTAATAGGAATTATTAGAATGACTGGATCCAATTTCATAAACCACCCACTGTATTATAATGAGTGAATGTTTTATCTACCTTCTTTAAAGGTAGCTTTGGCAGCATTTATTTTCCTGTCCCTATGCTTGATGGGTCGACAAAGGTATGAGGTTAGCAGGGAATTACAGCTTTCATCAATCAACCTCTCTGCAAATGTTCAGGTCCCTCTTTAGCCTCATTAATGCACTTAGTCAAAGAAGGACATAATGACATTATTTGAAAGTCACCTTGCCGCTGGGCAGTATGGAAGCCCTTTAGGCAAGCTGAGATCAGGAACAGAGAAGCTTTTTCCTACTTGTGTTTCTCCAGGCTGTTGTAGACTATCCTGGCACCTCTGTGCTTCAGCTGTCACCATCAGTCATATACAAAGCAACAGACCTGAACACTCACTCTAAATTTAGATGCCCGATTGTCTAACAGTGAGTGTTTGAACAGGTTACAGAGTTCAGCCGCTGTGCGTGAAGAATTTTAATAAGTGGACTATAATCATGACCAAAGATTTTAAACTGTGAATTTACAGTAGTTGAGATACGATGTCAAAATAAGAGCCAAATGTAGGTGGATGATCTATTGTGAGCATCATTCAAGCACTTTATATGGCCTAATAACTGTGTTTAAAAGTTTTAGTGCAGTTTTTTACCACCGACTGTGACTGTATAATAACAGAATGAACTCTGAGTCCCTTCTTCTCCTCCACCCATCCTGTCTGTCAAATGCAGAACAGCGAGGGGTCAGAATAATTCTTTTAACAGATTTGATTTCCATGATTCATTCGCCTGTTGTAATTCAAATCCACCCATTTGATTGATTGGGTCCCTCGGAAACTGCAACGACATTTTCAAAAGCTGATTAAACTTTGGCCTGTTAGGAGCACGAAAATAATTTGCATACAAGTGTACTTCTCTGCAATACTGACCGCAATCTTTAAAGTCCTGTAGGAATCACTTCATTCGCACAAAACAACCAATGGTTTGGAGAATACAAATTATTTTATCAAAATATTGGCAGCCAAATGAATTGGCTGAAATTGACTGGACTATAGTCAGTGAACTTGTGTTGACCTCAGGAACTCTGTGCAAATCAAAAGTTAGTTGATACATAATGTTTTATAGTGGATGAAAATGTGAAATGGAGTTTTTACTATTAGTGGTACTAAATGCATTGTATTAAACAAAACAAAAAAAATGTTGACTGCAACGCCAGCACCACCTTTTGTTTGTCTGCGTCTGACATCTTAACATAGTTTCTCTCCAACAGTGTCACTATGTTAACCATAGAGAAACTTACAATTTCTGTAGCAATGAAGCAATTGTATTTTATTTATT